CCTCACTTATAATCCGTTTTTTTTTTTTTTTTTTTTTTTTTTTTTTTTTTTTTTTTTTTTTTTTTTTTGTTTTTAAAAAAAAAAAAAAAAAAAAAAAAAAAAAAAAAAAAAAAAAAAAGAAAGGCTAAGCATGGCGGCACACTCCCTTAATATCAACACTCAGGAGGTAGAGGCAGGTAGATACCTGTAAGTTCAAGCCTATCCTGGTCTACATAGTGAGTTCCAGGCCAGCTGGGGCTACAGGGAGACCCCATTTCAAAATTACAAGCCCCCCCCCCCGCAAAAAAAAAGGTAAGGCGGGTGGACAACCCCCTTTAACCCGCACACTTGGGGGGAAACGCTAAGCATGGCGGCACACTCCCTTAATATCAACACTCAGGAGGTAGAGGCAGGTAGATACCTGTAAGTTCAAGCCTATCCTGGTCTACATAGTGAGTTCCAGGCCAGCTGGGGCTACAGGGAGACCCCATTTCAAAATTACAAGCCCCCCCCCCCGCCAACAAGAAAGTTATGCATGGTGACATACACCTTTAATCTCAGCACTTGGGAGGCAAAGGCAGGTGGATCTCTGTGAGCTTGAGGCCAGCCTGGTCTATACAGTGAGTTCCAGGCCAGCCATAGCTATCTAGTGACACTCTGTCTCAAAAAAAGAGAAAAGAACAAAAAAACACATTTAATAAAATCTTGCCCAAAAGAAAAAAACTTTTTTTTTGGGGGGGGGGGTCTTTTTGAGACAGGGTCTCCCACTAGCCCCAGCTGGTCTGGAAATCACTACATAGATCAGGCTGGCCTCAAAATCACAGAAATCTGCCTGCCTCTGCCTCCCGAGTGCTGGAACCAAAGGCATGAGCCACCACACCCGGCAGAACAAAACATTTAAAACAACAAAATATACCAAGGTTGGCCTTGTAGAATCTATAATCCCAGCACTTGGGAGATAGAGGCAGGAAAAACAAATCAAGCAAAAACTATGAAGTGTTACTGACTTAATTTATGTAAAGAGGTTGAAACACTGACTGCTTCATAGTAATTATTCAAAAATGTTAGCTACTAGGCTGAGGTATTTATTTTTCAGAATAGACTACTTGGCATGTGTGATGCCCTGGGTTTGATCCCCAGCACCACACACAAAAGAAAAATGTTAGCTACAAGCAAAAAACAGTCTACATCAAGTCATAGAGCTTTCCTGAACAGTTGAGGTGAAAGACCAGTGATCCCAAAGCCTATCTGCCTCACATAAACTATCCAAGCTCTTCCTAGAGCTACCAGATCTAGCTCTATGTTCTCTATAAAGACATTTAAAGAGCCATGCTTCTGAGTAAATGATTACAAATGTACTTTGAACTGAGAAATAGGTTGGAACAGATGTTTGCACTGAGGGAGGCAGAGCTGGGGACTCCAAAGGTCATTAGTATATGGCCTGCATTTAACTATTCTTCCTTTAAACTACTAAAGTGATGTACAAAAGATCTAAATCTCTGAAATGGTATTATTAAGTCTTCTTTGCAAAGTAAAATTTGGGCCTACTAACTGGCCTACACAGCACCCGTACTCCGCCCCGAAACCTGGCTTGCATATGTCTACTACTAGAGGACACTGCACATGGAGTCCTTACTCTCCTGGAACCTGCTTCTTGGATACAAAATCACCTCTGAAGCTAAATGCTCTACAGAGAAGGTGTCAGCTGTTAGGATCAACAGCCCAAATGAGAATGTGTGTCAAGACACAACCATACTCTTTGTTTTACCATGTTGAAGGGTTGATGTGAATGAGAAGTATTACCTTAAACGGTGGTGGGGGGGGAGATTTACAAAGAGCACAGGCTTGTGATTTAGCTCCCCAAAGGCTAACATCTGTCCAGTTCCAATGATAATACCTGGTGTTTTATATGTTCTATCAAGACATTAACTCTATAATTTGTCATTTGCTCAAGAAAATGAGGCCCAGAGAGGTTAAGAGACTTACCCAGGCCACACAGCAAGTTGGTAGCAGAACCAGCAATAGATCTGAGATCCCTGGTCCAGGACTTTTCCATTATACTAGGCTACCTCCCCCATATGACACAGTGAACTGGAAAGGAAACTATTCCATGGACCTGACCTTACCAAGTCCACCTTCTCACTATATACCTTATTAATGTGGCTATCTCCTCCTGAGGCATTATATACAAAAGAATTCTTTGGGTGCACATATATTGTACTTAATATTCTCTTTAAAAACATCTTGTGTGGCAGTGGCAGAATACAGGGGCAGATGATATGGGTAAGGTGAAAGAGTAAAGGACCTGGAGTTAAAAGACTGCAGTTCTGGTCCCAAGCTGCCACTGGACACTGAAGAGCCACAGGCCTCAGGCAACCACTTAAGCATCTAATTCCTCACCTATGAGAAAATTAGCTGCCCAAATTGCTTCACAGAATAGACAATCTATATTAAACCCATATTTAAAAATGCTTAGTAAAAAGTAGGCATTTTGTTGCTTTCTAAGAAAATACAGATTTGGCTTTGTAAATCTATAGTCAAAAGTAACACAGAGCAGTTGGAGGCCAGCACAGCACTTCAGTAGCTACCAAATGTGCTTGCTTTGCAAGGAAAAATGAAGAATCAGTCGCACAGTGCAGCATAAAAAGTCCCACCCCGGGTCCTGTCATTAGTGAGATGTGAGACTACAGGCAAACAACTTCCTCTCACTGCCTCCAACTTCTCTGTCTATAAACAGACTGTGGGAGTCCCTGGTCTAAAATGATGATAAGTAGTTAATACAACTTAGTTATGTGGTAAAAACGATGGCTATAAAATTATAGATTTTTCTGCAAAGGAAAGAAATTCAGCAAAGAAATTAATAATCCCACATCCAAACTATAAGAATTCTAGGAAATAAACCGTTGTTCCTAGACTGCTACTTACTTGCTAGACCTCGGAACCACCATTTCAGCTAACGTTTCATACTGCTTGATCCAGTCGTTGTGGTTTAACCTGCAGAAAAGACATAATAAGCACTGGAAAGGAAAAACTAGTCTAGGTTTCCTGCATGTCCAAGAAGAGAAAAATATTGCAGGACAAACAGGAAATGTGGCTACACTAAAATATATCAAATATATGCAACCAAAAATCCAAGTCTCCCACTGAAAATCATGCATGCATGCACGCGTGAAGCAGAAGTACAGACTAGCACCCTCACAGCCGGTAACTGTTGCAAAAGATCCTAGAGCCAAGTTTGGAAGGGCAGCAAAGCATAGTACAGATTCTACCTTACTTTTTAAGTGCATGGTTATAAATATTATGCCTCATTTAAAAAAACAGAAAAGGCCACATGAAATCAGTATCATTCACTGGCCATTAATGAAGGGCTGAATAAAACTCTATTTACAGAAAGCAGAGGATAGCACACAGAGCTATGAGGAAACTAAGTGAGAGTAAATGCTGCTGCCTTGTAACATTGTGCAACAGCCTTCTGGAGGGGTCACTGGCTTCTGGAAGGTGTAGGCAAAGACAATTATGTATGTGTTTAAAATAAAACATGTCAATGTTTGTAACCAAGGATACAGAATAATTCATCATGTAAAGTGACCTATGAGGATCCTATGTTTCTATCTTAAGGTACAGAAAACTGAAATTTTCTATGGGGCTGGATAGATAGCTCAGCAGTTAAGAGCACTGACTGCTCTTGCAAAGGACCTGGGTTCAATTTCCAGCACCCACATGGTGGCTACGAACCGTCCTTAACTCCAGTCCAAGGGGAATCCAAAGCCCTCTTCTGACCTCTGTGACATTCATGACACAGGTGTACTCACATACATGCAGGCAATACACTCATACATAAAATAAAAATAATAAAATATTTTTTAAAAAAGAAAACTGAAATTTTCTAAAAACAAATTTTAAGTAAAAATTGAATACAACAAATACATGGGCAAATGTTATTACAAAGAAATTTCTTATAAATAATGTGCTGATATTATAGGAAAGGGTTATATAACTAAAACACAAAATAAAACATTAAAAGCTAAGCACAGTGGCACACGCCTGTAATCCCAGTACTTAGGAAATAAAGACAGGAGGATCTCAAGCTCCAGGTCAGTCTGGACTAGAGGCAGATCAACAACAGCCCTACTTTAAAGGAAACCCAAAACCAAAACCAAGCAAACAAAAACTTTCAGAGCCAAGCCTTTCTCTACATGCAGAGAAAAGCCCAAAGCTTACATCCTCCAGCCTCAGTTCAGTAAGGAGGAAATGTTTCAATCAGGTAACACTGGAAAACCAAGTTCCACCTAGGTGTTTTCCCTTTCCTTCTCTAGAAACATTGTTCTCTACTCTTCTCCATCCACTAACCAGATAAATATGCATGCCTTTAATCCCAGCAATCGTTGGAGGCAAAGGCAGGCAGATCTCTGTGAGTTTGAGGCCAGCTTGGTCTATATAGAGTGTGTTCCAGGCCACCCAGTGGACCCTGCACAGTGAGACCCTGTTTCAAAAAATAGAAATAAAACAATAAAATAAAATGCTGAGCAAAGAAGGCAGACTTCATACAATAATGGTCAGAAAAAGCCAGGTCTTCATCTCAATTTAGATTCTCCCAAAGATGCCAATAGTTAGATCTCAGTGTAGGGCATGGAACTATTAACAATATCACAAACACACACAATTCTAATTTTCCCATGACTCTCCAAAACTAAACATAAAATCAAATATTAATTCAGAAGACCTAATCAAAAGGAGATTTCAAAGGGCCATCAAATCCAAGGCTCAGCCAACTCTGCCCATTTGTTTTGGAAAATGAAATCTTATTGTAGCAAAGTCACATCTTTTTGTTTGCTTATCTCCTGTGGCTGCTTCAGCTCTAACAGCAAAGCTGATATGGTACAGCTGGCAAAGCCCAAAATACTACCTAGCCCTTTAAAAGAAAAAAAAAGTTAGCACTCCTGCCCTAACATACACTTCACTCTTACAAGGTCTAAGTTCACCTCAACTGATCATAAATATTTTTCAGAAAACAAATCTAATGCCCTTTGGATTCTGAAAAATATAAAATAGGTATTTTTAAATTTTTAATAATTTAGCTGGGCGTGGTGCACACATCTTAAAATTTTTTTTTTAATTTATTATTTTTATTTTATGTGTATGTGTGTATTGCCTGCGTGTAGGTAAGTGCACCCATATCATGCAATGCCCATGGTGGACAGAAGAGGCTGTTGGATCCCCAGGAACTGGAGTTACAGACAGTTGCTAGCTACCATGTGGACTCTGGAATTCAAACCCAGGTCTTCTGCAAGAACAGCCAGTGTTCTTAACTGCTGAGCCATCTCTCCAGCCCCCAATGGCGCACACATCTTTAATCTCAGCATTCAGGAGGCAGAGGGATCTCTGTGAGTTTGAGGCCAGGCTGGCCTACACAGCAAATTCCCAGCTAGTCAGTGCCACATAGTGAGAATGCCTCAAAACAAAACAAAACAAAAAAACTATTTCTTAATGATCCAAGTCTGCCAATCCCATTTCCCAGTTATAAACTAAGTGCCACACAAGCAAATGTTGTATTCATCTTATACTTGAGTTTTACAGAAAACTTTAAAATTACATTAACAGATAACATTTTTTCCCCTATTTTACAAACCCCTCTGTAAGAGACATACTTAGGAACTACCACGAGTAACGTGACGAGATACTCTGAATCAAGAACGAAGTCATCCTTCTTCACAATTTCTGCTAGACTTCGAGTTAGCAAACTTCCCCTAAAGAGTAAGAGAAAAAAATCATTTGGTGGATAATTACATGCTTCTGTTCACACAGGTACAGAAACGCAGGCTAATCACATGGTTACATGTACATTTCAGAGACGGAGTCATCTCAGGTAACAATTTTGTTCCCTTAAAGTCAACAGTGAACCAAATATGTACCACCCTGCAACCAAAGAAGTGTCAATGTCCATCAAAACTTGCTTCTCATGTCTTTGTGTTTGTTTTAATTATTAGAAACTCAGCCCTTCTCTTGATTACAAATTCTGACTGGGAAAGTCTGTTCATTCAATATCAGAGGCTATTTCACTGTAATTACAAATTTATGTCATCTAAGCATAACCTCTGGTTTTACTCCCTTCCCTAAATATCATTTGATACCAGGCAATTTTGATTACTTAACACAATAATCAACTTTCAAATCAGTCTTCATTTGTTCTTCCAGTAATGAAAATGTCTTGTCCATCTGAGGACTGGAGAGATGGCTCAGAGGTTAAGAGCACCCACATGGTGGCTACAAATAGTCTTTAACTCCAGTTCCAGGGGAATCTGACGCTCTCTTCCGACCTCAGATGGTACACTTACATACATGTAGGCAATACACACAAAAAATAAAAATAAAATTTTTTTTTGGTCTTTTTGAGACAGGGTCTCCCTGTAGCCCCAGCTGTCCTGGCACTCAATATGTAGACCAGGCTGGCCTTGAACTCACAGAGATCCGCCTGCCTCTGCTTCCCAAGTGCTGGGATTAAAGGTGTGTGCCACCACACCCAGCATAAAAAAGAAAATGTCTTGTCCATGTATAGTCTCCATTCAACTTTCCCCAGGTCTATGCAGGTACAACTTGAATGTATTTAGAACTACACTTGGGGGCTGGAAAGATGGTTCAGTGGTTTAAGAGTGCTTGTTGCACAATCATAAGGACCTGAGTTTGGATCCCAGTTCCAACATGACAAGCCTGAAACCCCGGTGCAAGATAAAGATCACTGAGGCTTGCTGGCTGCCAGCCCAGCAAGCTTGATGTTCAACAAGCGACCTTTCCTCAAAGCAACAAAAGCAGAGTGACGGAGGAGGAGGAGACTTGACGCCTTCTTCTGGCCTCCACACACGCACACAGGCACAAACACTCTCACATACATGTGCATATACCACACATACATATATACCACACTCAAATATTCACTGTCCAAAACACCCAAAGCAAAAACAAAATAAAACTGTTCTTTACTGGGTTCTAGTCCAAAACCAGAACACAACAGCTCAGAATGACACAGTAATAATAATACTACAAGATCAACAAACAAAGGTGTCCTTCCTACTAAACTTAATACATGAACCTGGGCACAGAGAAAGTAAAAATACTCATTACAAGGCTGGAGAGATGTCTCAGCGGTTAAGAGCACTGACTACTCTTGCAGAGGATCCAGGTTAGATTCCCAGCACCCACATGGTGGCTATGAACCATCCTTAACTCTTAATTCCAGGGGAATCCGAAGCCTTCTTCTGAGAGCTCCACGGCATTGCACGACACAGGTGCACTCACATACATGCAGGCAATATACTCATATGCATAAAATTAAAAAAAAAATAAAAAAAATACTCATTACAGCAAGAAAGGACTATTATACAGAAACCTGTTATAATACTATGGCTTGAGTTAATTCATGTTACACAATTTTTCAGTGAACTATCAAATGGATAAAGGAACAAACCAGAATCCAGGTGACAAGTACTAGTCATGAAAAAGTATAGAAATAGACCAGCCTCACATCTATTATGACTTGTTTGAATTCTGTAAACTTAATGAACTTTCTTCATGAAATTAAAAACAAATCAACTGATTATAGAAACAGCATAAACTGGAACTAAGCACCAACAGTATCTCACACAATGCACGCTAAAGCATTCCCTGTGCTTAGCATTTAAAGGCTATGCTTACGCATTTTTTCGTTCCAAATTCTGAAGATTCCCTTTCAGATTATTGTATGCAGATGCTCGTGATTTCAGGTCATTATCAATCTGAGTTACTCCCTTCAAAAAAGAAGAAAATGTTTTTCTAAGACTGTCTCTACCAAAACAGTTAAAATAGATGAACATTAACATCTACAAAAAACATCATTAGTATCTGATTTAAGCATATTTGAATTTTATATTATTTATTTATTTGTTTTGGCCTTTTTGAGACAGGGTCTCCCTATAGCCCCAGCTGTCCTGGAATATTTTAAAAGCACAACTTTAAAAGATCATTTAAAGCGGGCATAGTAGCGCACGCCTGTAGTCCCAGCACTTGGGAGGCAGAGGCAGGTGGATCTCTGTGAGTTCAAGGCCAGCCTGGTCTATACAATGAGTTCCGGGATGGCTGGGGCTACAGGGAGACCCTGTCTCAAAAAGACCAAAAAAATAATCAACTTCATCAGGTATCTTTTGTACTGTTTTAGTCCCTATACTATAACTACTACCACGGTGCTTCTTTTTTTCCTTTTCTCTTTTTTTTGAGACAGGGTCTCCTTATAGCCCCAGCTGGCCTGGCACCCACTATATAGACCAGGTCGGCCTCAATCTTATGGAGACATGCCTGCCTCTACCTCTGCCTCCTGGGTCATGCCCTGTACCACACTGCTTCTTAAACCTAAATCCTACATTACTAGGTCTGAAGATTACTAATCAAAAGGTTCAGTTCATAAAGCTGAAAGACTTCTAAATTACATAGTTTTTACTGTAACAAATTCCAGTGTTATACAAAACATTTTCTCAGTGAAACATAATTTTATAGCCGGGCGTGGTGGCGCATGCCTGTAGTCCCAGCACTTGGGAGGCAGAGGCAGGCGATCTCTGTGAGTTCAAGGCCAGCCTGGTCTACAAAGTGAGTTCCAGGACAGCTGGGGCTACAGGGAGACCCTGCTTCAAAAAGACAAAAAAAAAAAATTACTTTATGTTACAAAAGCTTACTTTTCCAAAGAGGATCATAAAACAACAGTAACTGTGTAGGGAGAAAATATAAAGAATGTCTAACATCTAAAGAACTAGCTGTGACAGCTCTGCCAACAGCAGCTGTGTAGGACTGGGACAGTCACTTGAGCCCTCAGAACCTGTTCCCTTATCTACAGTAAGAAACCAATGATTAAAGCCTTGATAAGAATCCCAAGAAAATAAAACTTGGTTATAATACAAACAAATTCTATTATCTAACTACACATTTTCTTTAAATTATACAGTGAGTTCAGTTACAATTTCTAAGAGTCTATCCATTTAACTATAGCACTCACTCTACAACTGAAGTCACACAGCCAAGCAAAGTGTGTCAAGTAATTTAAACAATTCTTTTGCTCCATCCACGTTATTAAGCATACTGGTGATCAATCAATAGGTTTTGTCTATAAGCCTCATACTGTTTCTGTTAAAATGTTTACACTGAAGTGAGGTATGGAGGCTCATGCTTGTAATCCCTTCACTCAGGAGGGGCTGGAGCAGGAGGATGACTGCAGTCACTGCAAGTGCCAAGCCAGCCTGTGCTGCACAGAGGCCCTGCTTCAAAACAAAAAAGGATTCTTTTAAGTTTTCTCTCAAGCTCAAAGACTTCAATAGAAAGGATCTCTTAACTTGGTAAGCTTATGGACTTTAGATGGGCTTTAGGGTACACATGCTCCCTGAGAGTTGTACATAAAACCCTGTGGTACATGGGTATTTGCAGGTACGTGCATTTAGGGGCAGAGAATCAACAAAATGGCCAGAAAAGGTCAGAGAAACCACGAAGTCAATGTTTGAACAAGTATTGTCCACATATGTACCAAGTTACTGTTCCCATCTATTTGGGCAATTCTCAAATTTTTACTAGATTTCAATCTCCTACTCACATGACCAATAGTTTTCCTTAATATTCATATAAACAACAGTTGCAGAATTTGAAAGTTTTCTATTGAAACACTGTGGATGCAGAAGTTAAGTTAGCACCTTAAGTGAGTAAACTGCACAACTTAGATAACCTCCACATATATTAAATTCTATAACATCTTTTAATAGCTAAAACGGTAGTAGGAATATCTTCAGTTTCTATGTGTATCTGTGACATAAGAGTAAGCTGTCTGGGGCTGGAGAGATGGCTCAGCGGTTAAGAGCACTGGTTGTTCTTGCAGAAGACCCAGGTTCGAATCCCAGCACCCACATGGCAGCCAACAACTGTCCTTAACTCCAGTCCCAGGGGATCCGACAGCCTCTTCTGACCTTCGCAGGCATTGCACGACATGGGTACACTTACCTACATGCGTACATATTTAAAAAAAAAAAAAAAGAGTAAGCAGTCAAAAAAAAAAGAAAAAGAGTAGGTTGTTTGTCAAAAACCTAAAAAGGGTTGGGTGTAGTAGAGCACACCTGTAATCCTAGCACTTGGAAAGCAGAGGTAAAGACCAGCTAAATCATATGATTTCATAGCTAAATCATAAAATAAACAAATTCACTATAAATCAGTGTCCCACCTGCCTTGATTTTTGTCTTACCTTGGCAATTATCTCAGAAATATTTTTCAGAGACTGCTTGATTGGATACTTAGCCATATCCCACTGGAACCTTGTTATATAAGTAACCAAGTCAACTGAAATAAGGGAATAAATTAATTACTGAAGAGAAGTAATAGCATTTTTTTCTTTCTATTGTTTTCTATTTATTATTATTTTATGTGTATGAGTGTACTGACTGCATGTATATAAGTACACCCATGTCATGAAATGCCTGTGGATGTTAGAAAAGGGCATCAGATCCTCTGGAACCAGAGTTGCAGATGGTTGTTAGCTACCATGTGGGTGCTAGGAATTGAACCCATGTTTTCTGCAACAGCAACCAGTGCTCTTAACTACTGAGTCACCTCTCCAGTCCATATTTTAGTTTTTAATTGTATATGGGGGGGGGGTACACTTGAGAACGGTGCCTGCAGAGGTCAGAAAAGGGCACTGAGCTCTCTGGAGCTAAAGCTACAGGTGGTTGTGAGTTGCCTGATGTGGATACTGAGAACCAAATTCAGGTTCTCTGTAAGCACAGTATATACTTTTAACTGCTAAGCCATCTCTCTAGCCATAGAACACTGGATTTTAAAAACAGTGATATTATTGATGGCAATATGGTTAGAATGAATAAAAAGGGTTACTCCCTATTATTATGACTAGTAAAGACAGGTCTAATTCAAGATAAACCAAGTGGCTAAAGTGAGATTTCACAGGAAAACAATAAAACAAAGTGAACCTGAGAATAATGAAGTTAAGTCTTCTTTATAAAGGCATCATTACACAGAACAAACCCTATGTAAATATTAGCTTATAATTGCAAACACATCACATGAGTGCTTTATTTTATGGATACTAAGAAAAGCAATAATCCAGTTTGAGGGTAGAGAGGCATTACTATGCAATAAAATAACTTTAAGGTTTTAGTAGTTGGGGACTATTAAGAAGAAAAGACTGGAAAAAAAAATGTAGGCAGTAACTGGAATAATGGTGAGGCGTATAACTTGGAAATGATTTATAACTCTACGCTAGCAAGTTAAGTTCCAAAAAGAGCTATGGTAAAACACTGCTTTTGTAGAAGATTTGACATTGTATCATAAACTACATTATAAGGGCTGGAGGTATGGCTCAGTGGTAAAGCACATGCCTCACATAAATGACATTATATATTATGTTACATTATCTTACATGAAATTATGTTCTAGGAGGCAGGATGTAACCAGTAATAGCACCAATAATATTTTCATGTTTCTTTTAAGGATGTAGCATCCTAATCCATGGATTTTTGCTTCCTTTTTTGTTTATGTACCTAAGCCATTCATTTTATATGTTAACAATTATGAACTCATGAAAGAAAAGCTTACCTCCATTGGCCAACAGATTCTCCTGAACTTTATCTTTACTGTCCTCCAATACATCAGCCATGTATTGAGCTACTTTCTTGACCACCCTAAGGAGTTTAAAAAAACATCATCAATACCACTTCCATGCTACATGATGAATGCTATACCAGGACATGTTATATTATTTAGAAGAATCCTATTCTATTAAACATTTTAAAAAATAAAATGGGGGCTGGAGAGATGGCTCAGCGGTTAAGAACACTGGCTGTTCTTGCAGAAGACCCGGGTTTGAATCCCAGCACCCACATGGCAGCTAACAACTGTCTGTAACTCCAGTTCCAGGGGATCCAACAGCCTCTTCTGTCCTCCACAGCCATTTCACAACACGGGTGCCCTTACCAACATGCAGGCAATACACGCATACACATAAAATGAAAATAATAAATAAAATATTAAAAAAAATAAAGCGGACCAAGATTTGTTATATGCAAAAATCAACTGCAAAACTGTAGGGTTTTACGAAGACTACATATAATGTGTTTATCAACCAAGAAAGAAAATAGACTCATCATGCCGACATATGCCTGCAATCCTAGCATTTGGGAAGTAGAGGCAGGAGGGTTAGGGGTTCAAGGTCATCCTCAGCTACATAGCAAGACCCTATCTTTTTTTTTTTTTAAAAAAAAAAAGGGAGCTGGAAAGATGGCTCAGTAGTTAAAAGCACTGGCAACTCTTGCAGAGGAGTAGAGTTCGGTTCCCAGCACACACATGATGGCTAACAACCGTCCATAACTCCAGTTCCAAAGGATCTCTTCTGCCTTTTACAGGCATTGCACACACAGGTGCAGTTACATACACAGGCCTCATACACATAAAATAAAAATAAATATTTTAAGATTAAAAAAGTCACTTCCATGTCTGAAGGGTGAGAAATTATATTGTAAGAACACTGATGGCAGCTGGGAATAGTGACATACACCAATAATCCTAGCACTTGGGAGATTGAAGTAGGACTGCTGTAACGTCAAGGCCAGCCTGGGCTACAAAGTGAGACCCTGTCTCAAACATCAAAAACACAAAGCACTAATAGTGAAAATATGAAATGGTACAACTACTTGCAAAACAAAGATTCTTCACAATAGAACCAAGTAATCCAACAATTTCATTCCCGGGTACATAATCAATAGAAATGAAATTACAAGCATATAAAAACCTATTCATAAACCTGAAAAGTAAAAACAAATGCCCATCAGTTGACAGATCAATAAAACATGAATCATAATGGAGTGTTTGATGACTGCCAGAAAGAAGAAATGAGTGGGCATGGTGGTAAATGTTTGTAAGCCCAGCACTCAAAAAGGTTGAAGGATGAGGCTCATAAATTTGAAGCCAGTCTGGGCTCTAGCATGAGACCATCTCAGAACAAAAGGAAAAAAGAAGGATGTTGACACACGCTATAGCAAGGGCAAATTTGAAAACACTGTTAAGTCAAAAGGCTGGTCATAAATGACTATTATATTCCATGTATACGAAACATTCACAATAGGTAATTCACATAACAGAAAGTGAGCTAGTGGGTGATGGTGACAGAACAGGAAGTAACTAAAAGGAAAGAATTGTTTGAGAGGTTTTCTAAAATTGTGGAGATGACTGCAAATCTCTGTGAATGTGTTAAAAATAAGTGTCCATTTAGATAGACAAGTAAGTGAACTGAAGCCAGTGAGACGGCTCAGCACAAGGGTGTTTGCTGTCAAGCCCTAGTTTGAACCCTGGAACCTATATGGCGGAAAGAGAAAACTGACTTCCCCCAAATTCTCTCTCTCTCTCTCTCTCTCTCTCTCTCTCTCTCTCTCTCTCACACACACACACACACACACAACACACAAATGTAATTTATAAATAAATCAATACATGAACTGGCCAGGTGTGGTGCCTGTAATGCCAGCACTCCAGAGGTTAAGGCAAGGAGGATCAGGAATTCAAGGTCATTCTCAGCTTCGTATTGAGTTCACAGTCTGCTGGAGTTCCATGAGATACTATTTCAAAATTAGATACAAAATGTGCCTTCATAAAATTGATTTACAGGGCTAGGGAGATAGTCAGAAAGTGCTGGTTGCACAACCATGAGGACTGGAACTCAATCCCTAGGATCCATGTAAAAATCCAGGTATGGTGGCACACTTGTAAACCCAGTGCTGGGAAGGCAGAGACAGGAAGTTCCCTAAGTCTTGCTGGCCAGCTGGCCTAGCTAACTTGCAAGAGACTTTGTCTCAACATTAAAAACCACAAACACAAACAAAAACAAGGATGGCTTGTGGATGGCTCCAGACTATCATGAACACACATGTGCACCAACATGAACCCAACATGAACACACGTGCACACCACCCCACATACACAGAGATGCATACAAATATATACAAAATACTGATTTGTGAAAAAGTCATCATTTTTAAAAATCATTCAACAAGTACAGAGTATACACGGAATAGTAAACCATCTCCACACAGCCTAGTAAAAACACCTCATTTTGCTCAATCCCGTGTATTCAAGTACATTACCCTTCTACAAACGCATCCAGTTTAGCAAGTTCATCCGACAGACCAACCAAGACATCCAACGTGCCAACCTGGAAGGGAAAGTCACCTTATTATTTAGCTTTCATCACTTTCAGATCTTCTGTTTTGAGGGGATCATTTTTGTTTCAACAGGTCTTAGTCATGTACCCCAAACTAGCCTTGACCCCCATTCCTCCTTTCTCTGCCTCCCTAATGCTGGAAGTACAGATGTGCATTACCACTCTGACTCCCTGGCCAACCCTCCCCTCCTTTTTTTCACTGTACTTGTTGTGGTTTTTTGAGACAGGGTCACACATACACATCTATCCTAGGCTGATGTCAAACTTCACATGTACAGTCAAGTCTTGAATTCCTGATCCTTCTGCCCCTGCTTTCTCAGTGCTGAGATAACAGGCAGGCACTACTACTCTTGGCTCCCACCCTACCGCCCTTTATTTTAAAACTAGATAATGTATCTTTATTTGAAGGATCTACAAATCTTGTATTCTCCACATTTTACTTCACAAACTGTAACAAAAAAGATGTTTGGCAAACATTTAAATGCATTTACATTTACAAGTTAATTCTCTAATTCATGCTTACAAGTACCACTTCGAATGTGGAGACATCACTTATTAAGCAGGCCTGTGCTTGCTTTAAGCAGGCTCAGTTACCATGGGTAATATGAAGTCCTGCTTTACAACATGGGCCTTAAGGCAGGTCCATGGATGTATATCACAGGGTCTGCTGCTGAATTTATCTAGAAAATTGTGTGCCAATGATCATGTGTTAGAAAAAAAATCCCGTTTTTACAAAAGTTCAGTTAAGTGATTATTGGCAGCCTGTTTCTTATTACAGCTCCCAGATTACCCATCTTTACTAAATGTTAAGTACATTAACTGGATGAAATCATGAGGTTAGATTTGTTAAGTATGCCTATGTAGTGCTATGGTAACAATATGAATTTAGACGCTTTCCCAGACCCACAGAATGATTAATGCATCTCTCAACTCTCATCAGAGAAGCTTCCTCATGCAGCAGATGGCGATTAACACAGAGACCTACAACTGGCCAATGTGCTGAGAATAAGAGGCTGCAGACTGCCTAAATAGGACACACATATCAAACTTCTGCCTTCCAGGGCTCAGGGATCATTTCAGAAAAGGGAACAGAAAGATTCTGAGAGCCAGAGGTGGTGGATGACCACAAGGAAATAAAGTTTTCCAGAGCAATGGTGACAGCATGCACAAGTCCCATGTAGCCTCAAGCCAGACAAAATCCCAACACAGACATGGGAAAGAGGGTAAGAAACCTCAACCCTACCTGAGGAATGACTAGCAACTAATGGCTGCTGGGAGGGGGAGAGTGTCTCATTTATGTTCACTGGATGGACCCACACTGAAGGGCATTTGAGGACACACATTTGACTCCATAGACCTTAATACACAAGACAGACAGACACACACACACACACACACACACACACACACACAAACAGTACATGAAATTGGGTTGGGAGTAAAAAGGAGGGGGTGTAAATAGGGAGACAATCCAAATAGGACCAAATATAATGTATGAAATTCACAAAAATTCAATTAAAAAGCCAAGAAAAAAACCACATAAATTTAATAACAGAAAAATTGCTGTAATGTTTAAAAACATATACTAAGATTTTTCACTTCTGAAAAATCCCATTTTGTGAATACAATACATATTTTCCTAAGATTTCTCACAATTTAGAAAAACACAAGACTAACAAGAACAGGATGGTGGTTTACTTCAACATCTCAAAGAACAAGATCCATTCTAGACCACATCCCAGCTGGAGACAGTGAGTTTTCTTCTAAAGGGACCTGGAAACCTCATTTCTACAAGAAAGAGAACCCTCATCTGGCCCCTAAGAACCAACTCATACAGTCTTTGGCAAGTGCAGCTTCACCTTCAAGTCGGGAATGTTGAACTTGGAAGTGACAGCAAGATTATTGCTCTTGGTAGTCGCAGCATGTAGTTTCTCCCATGTTTGCTGACAGGTCTTCTCCCCAGGAGCAGATATTAGCCAGAACTCAGTCATGCTTGCTTCCAGGTCCTTTGGAAATCAAGGGAGAAGCTATAATACAAAACAAGACAGACATTTGAAGATTTTAAGTGTACAAGTGTTTTACCTGCACGTATGTCTGTGTACCATGTATGTGCAGGTGCCCAAAAAGGTCAGAAAAGGTGTTAGATCCCTTGGAACTGGATTTACAGGCAATTGTGGGGTGCCATGTGAGTGCTAGTAATGGAACTTGGGTCCTCTGTAAGAGCAGCAAGTACTCTTAATCACTGAACCATTTCTCCAGCCCCTACTTTATATATATTATTTTTAAAAATTTTTATTTTTTATGTATGTGCACATTTTGCTTACACACACACACACACACACACACACACGTATATATATGCACCATGTATGTGCCTAGTAGGCTACATAATGAGTTCCAGAAATGCTTGGGCTACAGTGAGACCTTGTCTCAAAAAAAAAAAAAAAAGAAATATCTGGGGCAAACATGACAGAATAATTTCTGTTAAATCTGGGTAGTAAGCCAGGCATGGTAAGCTAGCACTCAGGAGGTAGAAGCAGGAGGACCTTGGTTGAGTTCAAGGCCAGCCTGGTCTACGTAGTGAGTTCCAAGCCAGCCGGGGTACAGGGAGACCCTGCCTCAAACAGACCAAAAGAAAAAAGGAAGAAAAAAAGAAAAAGAAAGAAGGAAAGAAAAAAATCTGAACAGTAGATACATGAATCACTTAATCTGCAATATTTAACTTTTTTCTGTGTATCTAAAATATTTTGAAATTAAGTATTCCTAAAACATACGAATATAGTTTATAACAAAATAACAGTGCTTGTATTAATTATTCTTCTGTTGCTGTGATTAAACACCATGATCAAGGCATTCAAACTACTACAGTACTTTTTCTGGCCTTGAACTCCTGATCCTCCTGCTTTCATTCCAAATTCTGGGATTATAGGCATGCACCACTACCTGGGACTGGCTTTTTGAAGCAGGATCTCATGTAGCCCAGACTGGCCTTGAATTTGTTGAACAGCTGAGGCTGACCTTGAGTTCCTGATCCATGTGTACCACCCACCCAGTAAAAATTCTAATTGTACCATGATGTAAGGATGGGAACCTAGACTAGATGATACTAATTCCAGAACCTATCACACAAAGGTGCTTTTCATAATAAATTCCTGAAAAATGTGGGCCTATGTCCTGTCATCTTGTTCCTGGTCTCTATCTGAGACACCTCACCTAAGTCACTCATTTCTCTCTGGCTATGCTAGCTGTGGCTATTTCCTTAGCTCCGGTTTCCTCCACCTAATACTCTTTTACAATTACTAAATCCAGCAATTTTACTCCAAACAAAATCCACAGGACTATCTGGAATTGTACGATTTTTAGTTTATCAAAGAATCTGGTTGTTTTATTTTGTTTGGCACTACTGAGATTGAATCCAGGGCCCCAGAATGTTAGGCAAGCATTCTACCACTGAGCTCTTCCACAGCCTTCTTAAACGAAGTTGTCTAAGATGGCCTAAAACTCCTAACAGCCGAGGCAGGCCTTGAACTTGCCATCTTCCTGCCTTCCAGGCAGGACTACAGACCAACACCACTAGGTCTGTCCTAAACTTTTAATAATACCAATCTAAGTGACCAGTTTTTGGAAATTCGATGTTTACTGTTCTGTGTTATACTAGTAGTTCTGTTGAAGTATATTTGATGACATATTTGTCTACCTGCTGACTTTCAAAATAGCAAGTAATAAAATAACTGGTTCCAATTCTTCCTGACAATAATGTTAAATTATCTAAACTCAGCTTCTTCAAATCTATAAGAGCTATTTCAGTAGATGCCCTGTCATATCATTCTAAAGCACCTTTCATAGTCCAGATCTCCCAAAAATTCAAGAAATGAGACCCTACTTTCTCCTCTGTAATACCTGCCCTATCTACTTCATGAGCTTTTATCAGGATCAAAGCAAATAGTGTCACAAATCATTCTGTACAACAGTTGAGCAATGTCTAGGAAAACCACAGAAAGTTCTTTAAGTCTAGCTTTTAACTAGAGCCCTTTTCAGAGATGAGGAGGAAAGGACAAAGTGCCCTCTTTGTTTGGTACTATGCTACACACTTGAAACTGTCATACTTCTCATAATAACCCTATGAGATGCTCAGAGCTTAGTAATTTACCTGAGGGCACATGAGAGGCAGCTGGGTTTCAAATCTAGCTGCACCTGACTCCGAGGGCCATGTTCTTTCTCTTTACTGTGCTATGCTAGGAGAGAATGCTCTGTACTCAAATGCATCTGAGCTCTTCCCTTGTTGCACTATTTAGGGCCTGACTGAACCAAGGATTTTGTGCACGCTAAGCGAAAAGACACTGAGCTACATTCCTGTCCTTCCTTTTATTTTACTTACTTACTTACTTTGGAGACAGGGTCTCATTAAGTTACCAAGGCTTGCCTTTTATTATTTTTTAAAATATTTTATTTATTAATATATGTATGTGTATTGCCTGCATGTATGTAAGTGTACCCATGTTGTGCAGTGCCCACAGAGGCCAGAAGAAGACACTGGATCCCATGGAAACTGGAGTTGTGTTGGGGTCCTCTACAAGAGCAGCCAGTGCTCATAACCTCAGAGCCATCTCTCCAGCCCCAGGCCTTGAACTCTTCTTAATCCTTCTGCCTTGCTCCAAGGAGCTGGGATCACCCTCCTGTCCTATCAGGCCCACCTGAGTTCTCTATTTCAAGAGTGTTCCATGTATAAGCTAGCTGCATTTAGGTCCAGGCTCAGAACACCCTGCCTACTACCCCCCTTCCCTTTTCCCCTGTGATCATCAGAATTTGTAAAACACCCCATTTCCCAGCATCCAAAAACTATTCAACTATCCTAAAACAAAGGTCACTCCACATGGGGGGGTGTTCATGAGATCCAGGGCACCTGTCATATAATGCATGGCACCAGTCACATACATCATACATGCACAGTAATTAGTAAAATTTTAAAAAGAAAAGAAAAAAAGACAAACTTTGAAGTCTCCCAATAGTTAAACCCACCTGAATACCCACCTTACTGGTTTCCTTTCTGCAAAGTGGAAATGTTAGAAACCTAAGACCTTCTTAGAGGTCTTAAGCATCTTCCCACCTGAGCCCTCCTCGGCAATCCCAGTGGGAAACTGCCAATTACTTTACCCTTATAAAAGCCATTTCTGCATTTCTCACCATCCCATTTTTTTGTTGTTGTTTGTTTCTCTTTTGGGTGTTAGAAACCAAACCCAGGGGCTCATATACTCTACATGTGTTCTATCACTGATTAAAGCATTTCTCTGCTAGCTGGGCATGGTGGCACACGCCTTTAATCCAGCACTCAGGAGGCAGAGGCAGACAGATCTCTGTGAGTTCAAGGCCATCCTGGTCTACATAGTGAGTTCCAGGCTAGCTGCAGCTATAGGGAGACCCTGTCTCAAAAAAAAAAAAAGCATTTCTCTGCTTTTTTATTTGAGACACACTCTCCCAGTGTATCCTCAAGCTTGCAGCAATTTCCTGTACCACCACGCCCAACTTCCTCATTCTTCATAAAACACTCTCCTTCTTACCTGGCTGGGAAATCCTAGAAGGCCAAAATCTTACTTCCTCTGTGAAACAGTAAGACCCAGTAACACAATTCTGGCCAACAAAAGGGACATTATAAATGTATGGTCAATGATTAACAAAATGCAACTACCAAAATGGCTCTGAAGCAATCAAAATCTGATTAGAGCCTGTCATCACAGCACCCAAGAGACTGAGGCAGGAGAGCTGCAAGTTCAAGAACAGCCTGGTGAGACCCTGAGCCAAAACAAGAACAAAATCACTTTGATCAGGGGAAACAAAACCTTTAAAAAGCATTAAATCCTGTTTCCAAGGGGATTTTGTGTAGTCTTTCAGAAAGCAAGTCCTATTTAAAATGTAATGCTGGACTGGGGATGTGGCCCAATGGTGGTTCTTGCCCTGCATGCATGAGGTATGTACAAGCCTGCACAATCCCTAGTGCCACACATGAAAAAGAAAAAAGCCACAGGTTCCCAAGGCCTTATCTTGTTTTTTATTTCAAAGATGTATACAGTCAAAAACATGAAAGAGAAGGCAAAATAAAGAATCCGTCTGTACTTCCAGAAAAGCATGTAGCCTGGGACTTCCAGTCAAAGCAAACTGACTCCAGAAGCCTGCTGGACGGGCAAGCTGCTCCAGTGCCTAAGGCTGCAAAGAGCTGCCCAGGGCACAGCATCGGTAAAAGACTTTTCCAAAACAGGGGGTGGGGGTGATGCTTTGTTTTTTCAGTTTTTAAACAATGCCCAATGTTAAGTCTCTCATACAAATCAACTTAAAAAAAAAATCTAGGGAACTGGAGAGATGGCTCAGCAGTTAAAAGCACTTGATGCGCAATTACAAGGACCCGAGGTTGGTTTTCGAAACCCATGTTAACAAGCATCCTGCAAATTCCTGTAACATAACTCAAACTCTGGCACCGTCTTCTGGCCTTCATGAACGCACAGGTGTGCACACACAGAGATACACACATATGAACAAAATCTTTTTTTTTTTTTTTTAAATTCAAGGGGCCAGTGAGATGGTTCAGTGTGTAAAGGCACTTGCCAGCCAAGTCTGATAACCTAATTTCAATTCCTGGGACTCATATGATAGGAGAGAACCAACTCTAGCAAATTGCCCTTTGACCTTCACCCATCCCCCACCTTGATGCGCGCACACACTTTTAAAAGTGCAGTAAAAATATTTTCTAATCTAGATTTAAGAAAAATTTAGTTTCAAACAAAATGTATCTTCGAGGTTAAACATGTGCACCCTCCTGATCAAAAACTGAAGTCCAATTACTTTGTATTCAAGGCCAGTCTAGGCTACACAGTGAGTTCTAAGCCTGAGCTTTGGTGTGAGACCTTATTTCAAACAAACAAAAAAGGTGGGGGCACGGTAACAGATGCCTGTAATTCCAGTACTTGGGAGGAAATGGGGGGGGGGGAGCGGAATCAGCAGTTCAAGGCCAGTCTAGACTACAAGAGTCCCTCCC